TGACTAAACATTTAATTCAAAATTGTTAAGCTTATATTAATATTTCAATACAATACGAAAGTCAAGTTTAGTTTACAACATACCCAACAAATGTTTCCGCACATAGTGCGGATAAAAATCTAGTTAATTTAATATTATACTACTCCATAATTGCATTATATTCACGTGAAAATTCCCCGAAGCTCGGACACGCGTACAAATATATGACCTCGTTCTTACTTTCGAGATCATTTAATGATTTTTAATCATCCATTCAACTAATTTGATCTTTTTTTTTAATAATGAACTAATTTGATCTCTAGGTCAAGTTCATCTTTCAATTAGCCTTAATTAGTTTTTAAAATTGGACTAAAGTTTGTGACATAGTACAAATTAGTTACGGTCAGCTAGCTGGGAAAAACTCAGCATTAGTAAATCTTATTTTTAACACATCAGATAGTTTTCCTTAAACCTTAATTCATTACTAACTTAAAAATTAGAAAACTAGAGCCCCTGGGGGGAAAAAAGCATTATATTCGAGCCAAAATCGAAAATTCGTGCTAAAAAATACATAAACATGGAATACACCGAACTAAAAAACTTTATATTGTGGCTTTAAGTCTTCATGTATTATATACTTCTGTATTTCAATAATTTTTCATAACTATAAATCTTTTATATATGACAAAAATATTCAACTTGACACATGTTATGAAAATTAGTTGCAAATTCGCTATCTCTGATTATAAAAGAAAAAATAAAAATGGTAGAGAAAATTTACACTACGCGTTCCATTATTCACCACCACGCACCCACTTTTTTCGTTCTCTCTCTCTATCTCCATATAATTATTTCTTCTTGCATAGTTGCATATACTATATTATATACACATGTCTTATCAATACGTAACAACCACCAAAAGATTACAAATCACAGGTTTCCACTTTCTATAGTTATTGTAAACAAAAAAAGATTGTTGGGGTTAGATCGTTCTACGTTCGTTTTCTTGTGTTTGGTCCGAAAACAAAGGCATTAGGAAAGATGGAGGTCAAAGTTGTCAAACCAAAAGCCATAGAGTCGACGATTTTAGCAGCTAAAGAGGAAAATGAGAAGAAGATGAAAGATTGTGTGGTGATTGGTCAAGAGACAGAAGACGAGATTGATACTAATAAAGGACAAGAAACTATGAAGATCTTGGAGGGTTTAAGACAAAAATCAGATGCAACAAAACCAGATGATTCTAAGAATGA